ATAAGACAGGTACGACGACCAGGTTTTGTGAAGACGGAGCAGTCCAGACTCGTCTTATTCTGATTATTCATATTATTGTTGTATATTATGAAAGAACACACTTGTAACTAAAATTATACTAGTAATGCAATGGATGATGTTGTTGCTTGTTTACTACTTTACATTGTTGTGATACATTACATGACGTCCTCCGCCCCAGAACGTTTCCGCCGTTCTCGGTTTTGGGGTGTGATAGTATTCGATAATAACTTTTTAGTGTATGTTGTCTGACTTAAGCATCAGAAACTTCTTTTTCTGTTTTATTTAATATGATTTTTCTATTGACTAAATTTGTTTCTGGTGTTGGTGTTTGACTTTGAAGTTTTGTTTTCTGAACAAATGAATTCAGTCGTGTCCAACTTCAAGCGTTGTAGTCATAATTACGAAAGGTTTCTTCTTTTTTAGTTATATGAGCTTGTATGGAATTAATCTGATGTTGACTTATTTATAGATGACGTGGTAATGAAGATAGTCTAGTTTTTTGTCAGTTTACAGGTACACTGATTGAAGGGGCACACATTCCCGCTTTACATGCACCCAATGCAATGGAAAATTTCATGTAAGCTTCTTTCCTTTTGAAAATCAAATCAAATCAAATGCATATTTTTATACATGCTACAATTTCTTATTCATATTTATAGAGAGGGTTGATTGGTTTGGCGGCAAGGTATTACCTACCAGACTATTCATATTGATTTAAGTATCGCGTTGCAAGTGATAGCTCTTGGCGGAAAACAAGTTCATGTATCCGCGATTCGAAGGCATGTGCGAAAACGAGACGGGTTGTTGGTGGGTTTCCGGACTCTGTTGATATGTATTACCAACGAAAGGTCAATCTGATTCAGGTAACACTCATTTTCTTTTAGTGTTATAATAAATTATTTTTTATACATATATAAGAAAATAAAATGATAAATATTTATAACATGTTTAGATATACTATATAGCTATTTTTTATAAATATTTAAGAAAATAAGATGTAATTTTATCCTTTTGCGATAAATAGTAAATACAAGTGTTAATTTTTAACAAAGTCGCCATAAAATTTTGTTTCTTTTGCACTTTCTATGGTCAAAAAGTGTTATGGACTTCTAATCCTTCAATGTTTAAATCGGGGTTGGTTAAAAAGACATTCTAATTTTCCATTTGGACACCTTATTTGATTTTTAAGGTTTTTTTTATTGGTTAAATTTGCATTGTTTTTTGAAAAAGTAAATTGTAAATAGTTTATTATAGGTTTATTTTTATTAAAAGTGTTTATAGGGTGTTTAAAAGGTGTCAATTTAGCAACACCCTTAAATCGTTAAACATTATAGCTTTGTAGATCATAGGATAGGGTCTTATAGATTACGTCAACTTATAGAAAATAACAAAATATGCATATTTTGAAAAACCTTTTTAGTTTTTTTATGGATGCTTCTTGAATTTAACCATTTGAGATATGAGATCTTGCACGTAACATGGTTGACCATTTGTTAAAAATTAGTAATTTAGAAAGTGAAGAAATAGTCCTTACAAAAAGTTATATAATATCTGTGACCATAATGCATTTTTTTGGTTGAAATATGAAAAAATAAAATTATTTGGCATAAATGCTGTTTTTGACCTTAATGCCCCTACATTTGTTTTTGATTATGCTCCTACATACACTTCATATGGGAGCAAACAACAGAAACACATCTGCATGGCTTTAGTAACCGTTTTTTCTTAAAAAAAAAAAAATGTAGCCATTTCTTTCAATGATGATCTATCGTTCAGTTTCTTCACAACTACTCTACAATTTTTTTATCTGATCACTCTTACTATTAGAGCTTCAATTTGCAGGATACTCTTACAATCAAACCTCCCAAAAAAAAAGCTTCATTGGTGCTGAGATTAAATGTTGTCAACATCCGCACTGCTATGTGATATTTATATAAGTATCATTTGCAAAAAGACAAAATAGGTGAAAATATTAAGAATAACAATGTATTTTCTTTACAATAACCCACAACAAATCCATATCCTGCAGAGCGGGATTCATTTCTGAAATGGTGGTTTTTTAAATGTATTTCAAAAATGATTAAACAATTGTCAGCCTTTTCGTTTCTTTCTTTCTTAACCTAATGTCAGTATCCTACTCTAACCCCCCACAGCTTCATTAATATAATGAAATGCATGTGTAACATGTCTACGTCTATTTCTAAATACACCTTATTCCACATTCCACATGCACAATACAAATACTCCACAAACATATTCTGCCCTTGCAAAGCAAGGGATAACCATCTAGTTTTCTATTAAAGTTAGTAGCCTTGACTTCAGAAAATTAAATTTATTTGTAAGTACAAGCCCACAGGGTACTAATGAATAAATATGTTATTTTAAATTGATATCTCATTATCCTTAGAAAAACTTACATTAAAATTCTGAAACTAACAATGAAAAAAAAATGTTGGGGTTATATATCTTGAATTTGACAGTACAATTACCTACCTTCATCTTGAATATAATAAGCATTTGACGCATATAAGGCAAATTATTTGAAGAGCCTTGCAATTCTTGATTTTTATTTTATTTCTGGTATTATTACATAATTAAAATAACACAAAACCAAACTTAACATTCCCAAATTAAATAAACTTTCTCTCCAACAGCTAGAGTCATATTCGTTTGGATCCACCCTGCTTCATCGAGTAAATAGCTTCTTACAGGTATTTCAGGTTTTGCTTATATATACGTTCCTTGTAAAAAATGTGGATTGCAGATTCCAATCTAATCGACAAAGATTGGGAGATGTTATCACGATGTTATGTAAAGATATGGCAATAAGATAGAAATTTGAAAACGACACCAAGATGGTTTTCATTAGAACAAGTACAAACAGGTCAAAACAACATGACCTCAACAACAGATGATACTTTCTACAACACAAAGATAAACCCTAACCATTTTCTTAAAATCTAAGCCCTCTCGCCTCTGATCCTTCTGGCCAATTGCATATCCTTAGGCATGATTGTAACCCTCTTAGCATGAATGGCACACAGATTGGTATCCTCAAACAAACCCACCAAATAAGCCTCAGAAGCCTCCTGAAGTGCAGCGACAGCACTGCTCTGGAACCTCAGATCGGTCTTGAAATCTTGAGCGATTTCTCTCACAAGCCTCTGAAATGGAAGCTTACGGATCAAGAGCTCTGTGCTCTTCTGGTACTTACGGATCTCCCTTAGAGCAACGGTTCCTGGCCTGAATCTGTGTGGCTTTTTCACTCCTCCGGTGGCCGGTGCTGATTTCCTGGCGGCTTTTGTCGCCAATTGCTTCCTCGGAGCTTTTCCTCCGGTCGATTTGCGAGCAGTTTGCTTGGTTCTTGCCATTTTTTGCAAATACAATGAGGGATTACGAAGATTTTGTTGGTGCAAGGAGGAAGCGACTTATTGTTGTGAATATTTGGGGAAGAAGATGTCTGTATTTATAATGGTTTGGTTCTTGACGAGGATTGTGGGAAGTTTTGAAAATTTTGGGAGAACAGTCGGCGGAAGCGATCCTGGACCGTTGGATTGTTGAAATGAAAAAAGGACGGTTTAGATTATAATTTAAGAGACGACGCGGATCGCTATCCGTGTGCTTTCTTTGTGACCAATTGTGTATTTTAAAAGGAAAGTTTCGATTAGAAATTTTTTACATGTCTTTCAAATATGTTGTAACTTGTAAAAAATTGTTAATATGATTTTTAGTTTTGTTTTTTTTTGTTTTTTTTTTCTTTAGTTAATAAATACTAGCTATATTATTGGTTAATATTTTTTTATGTCGACCAAGTAATATCTTTTTAGTATATTTTTAATTTCATTGATATATTCGTATCCTTTTAATTCATGGTATATTTGGATCATTGCATGTTTGTTTTCCTCTTATTGCCACTTAATAATAATTAAATCTGAATTTATATGATTAAGGGTGTTTGTTTTCGTCGTATTTTTGACATTTTAGTTTGAAAAATAATACTTTTTCGGCCAGGCTTGTGATCACATCTAAAATAAAGAAGAAAAAAATGCTCATTTTTTGCCCTAAACCCACGCATTCCTTATGGTCAGTTAACTACTTCATAATACAGTGACATCCAATAAAACTTAAATAATCTTTCGAATAAAATACTCAACCCTACAATTGTTAGACTAATACAAGAGTTGTATAATTGAGCTAACTCAATCATTATAGAATTTACGTAACTCTTTAGATTTGATATTTATTTAAATGTTAAAAAACATAATTTTATAAGTATGAGTAAATATATTATTTTAATATTAAAATCTAGTTTATATATGATTACACTTTAGATTTGATATTTATTTAACCTAATTACTAAATTATAATTATTATTATAAAATGAGAGTTTCGAATGTGATAAAAGAAAAAAAAAAAAGAATGGAGTTTCAAATGAATTTATATTTGATATTTATTTAACCTAATTACTAAATTATAATTATTATTATAAAATGAGAGTTTCGAATGTGATAAAAGAAAAAAAAAAAGAATGGAGTTTCAAATGAATTTATATTTGATATTTATTTAACCTAATTACTAAATTATAATTATTATTATAAAATGAAAGTTTCGAATGTGATAAAAGAAAAAAAGAATGGAGTTTCAAATGAATTAGATTAAAAAAAAAAAAAGTTTTAGAAGTATATATGTTTCCAAAGTAATTCAAACCATGTGTTTTGGGTCACGGGCCTACAAGAGGTCAATTACACCCAATGGCTTTGTTTTTATTATATAGGTGATCACTTTTGTATCTTGTCAAAAATTATGATATTTCATTTCATTATATCTATTTATGAAAAATAGTTATTTTGATGATTATTCTTATAATATATTATTTTCATAAAAATATATTAAAAAAAATGAACCAAACAAATCTACATAAAGACCTACCAAATCTAAACAATATATTTTGAGGATTCATCTTGCCATTAGAGATGCCTTTAAACCAAAGTGGAACATGTAGAAGTCAACGGGTCAAACAAAGAGGGAACCAAATACTTCCTTCCGTTTGTACCATACGCATTAAAACTTGCACCCGTAGTACCATCCACCAACAAATCCCCAGGGTACCCTGGATACGCCCCCTTCCCATATACCCCTTGACACGCGGATGCAGCTTCTAATGGTGCACTCGCATCCCCCTGATAATACCCATTTCCAAACGGATTAGTAGTTGTAGCAGCCAATAAGCTAGCCAGGTTAATCACCATTCCGTCTACACCCACATCGTTGTTGGGTGCGACCAGTGGTGCACCCTGTGGTCCGTAAATCGGTTGGTGAAACGGCCACGCGCATTGACCCGGACACTGAGTCACCGAGTTGCCAACCCAAATGTATACAAATCTGTATTTCTTTCCTTTACTTCCATGGCCATTAACTTTGTAACTTGACTTGTGGGTGCCGCATCTGCCGGAGCAAAAACCAGTAACTGTTACGTCCTCCGCCGTCAAGACAATGTTGACGGTGTTTTCCGATGCATGGTTAGCAACGAGTTTAACGAGTTGGTCGTTTGTTAATGACTTTCCGATGGAATACGTTGTGTCGGACGTTTGTTTAGCGAGTGAAAGAGATAATGTGGTGGGGTTGTTTGATTTGGTGTGGTATTTATCGGTGGTCTTCCACCATGAGGCGACGGAGGGTTTGGGGGATGTGGAGGAGCTAGAGACGGAGAGGGAGGTGATGAAATCGGAGATGATGGATTTCTGAGCGGGGTTGAAGTTTCCGTACCATATAACGTTGACGGAGATGTTGCCGGAGAGGAGAGGACCGTTGTGGTATTTCATTAAGTCGGAGGAATCGGGAAGTGACTCAGTGAGTTTTCTGGTTGCGAAAGAAGCATAAAGAATGGAGAAGAAGATGAAGATAAGGTGTAGGAGAAAGGTGGTGGTAGCCATTTTCATGAAGGATTTGATTGTGTGGAATGAGTTGATTTAAGGTGAAAATGGTGGTGATATTTATAAAGAGTGTGAGTGAAATCGTCTTCAATACGTTGTTTATTTTTTAACACCGCGTAGGGCCATGGCCATGGGGCGGTGGTGGCACTAACACTTAGTACTTTTATAACTTCTTCTCAACAAAATAGTAATTTAGAGGGACAATAATCAATAATGCCGAC